GAGAAGTACACAGAAATGTCTTTGAAAGTATCTTTGGTCTGAAGAAGAGAACAGATTCTGTCAACAACTCAGGAATGCAGATGAGAACTAGGAGCTGGGCTTTCGTCCCTTGTGTGCAGGGGGTTCTCTGTGAGGAGAGGCAGAGGCTCTCTGGGCCCCTGCCGGGTGGTACCTGGTCCCTGAATACACTCTGTGTGTCCATTCCCCACTGAGCTTGGACCCACCTAGAACCCTGGGGACTTGGGGGCTCTGAGTGGTGATGCAGGAGTCAGGGGGAGTAGAGGCTGGCATCTTATGGGCTCTTAGGGCTGATGGAGGGGGAGCAGGTGTGAGGAGCCCTGAGAGTGATGGAGGGGGATCTGAAGGGCCCTGAAGGGTGATGAAGAGGCAGGCAGTCCAAAGGGATGTGAGGCCCTGAGGGCCAATGGAGTGGGGGCAAGTCTGAGGGGCCCTGAGGGGTGATGCTGGGTGGGGGGTCTGAAGGGCCTTAAGGGGATGCTGAAGTGCCTGAGGGACACTGAGGGCCAATGGGGGGAGGTCAGCATGTCTGAAGGGCCCTGAGGGGCAAGGCTGGGGATCTGAAGGGCCCTGAGGGGCAAGATCAAGGGTCTGAAGAGCCCTGAGTGGCAATGCAAGTGGGGATCTGAGGGGCCCTGAGGCCTGATAGAGGGGTAAAACTGGGGATCTGAGGGGCCCAGAGGGGCAGGGCCTGGTGACTGAGGGGCCCTGAGGGGTGAGGCCTGGTGGTCCTTGGGTGAGGTCAGAGGCGCCCTGACAGTTGGGGCTTGGGGGGGGACTGCTGGTGACAGATCCGGGTTTCGGGAATTCCACCTGCGATTCTGGAACAATATAGGCGGGAGAGGTGCATTCTCCCAGGGGCAGAGACCTCGCAGGCTGGACAGGATCTGGGGACTTACTGGCTGAGGAAATTTCGGGTGCCCGGGTGAGAGGCTTTGGGACTTCTGAGGGTGAGAGACTGAAGGTCTCTCCTTAAAGGGGCTTCAGGTCTCTGGACATTGAGTTTCCAGGACTGGGGCATTTAGGGTCTCAGAGTTGGGGAAAATTTGGTATTTCTGGGCACGCCCTCAGCTGAAGGGAATGGGGGCTTTAGGAGTGTGTTGGGGCCTAAGCATTGGGGGATTTAGTGTTTATCTGGGCGAGGACACTTGAGATCCTCCTGGTTAGCGGACTTGGGGTCCCTCGAGGCTGACAGGATTGGGGGCCTCTCAGGAAGAGGGCATTCAGGGTCTCTTGGGCTGGAATTTGAGGGTCTCGGGCTAAGGGGTTCACACTGCAAGTTCTCCATTTTCCTGTGAGTCTCCCGGCTGTGAGGCCACAATGCTTACCCTGGCTTGCTTCCCTGACTTGCTTTCAGGAGGTGTGAGGCCGTTGGGGTTGGAGAGGTTTGGGAGGGCAAGGTTCCAGACAATAGAGCGGGTCACGCGTCATCCGCCAATCAGTGCTGGGGTCCCAGGCCCTGCCCACCAATGGGCAGTCAGAAGACCCGGAAAGGGCGAGGCATAGGGTGGAGCCTTCCTGTCAGTCAAGGGCGGAATCTTGGGCTCTGGTCCTACCCTGAACCACCTCACCCCATGGTGATTGGCTGCTACAGGTGCTGAGCGTGTCTGTCAAGAAGCCTTCAGCAAGGGAGCAGAGCTTGGAGGTTTCCATGGCTTGCTTTCCAGCAACTTGCCTGAGGGACCTGCCCTGCAGGAGGTGGGCGCCCCAGCTCTGGCAGGTCTTTAGCGTGGACATGGCCTCCCTGCACAGACCTGGCTCGGTCTGTGTTCCACCAGATTGTACTTAGGATCCAGGTCTTTCTTCTAGACCAGTGGTTCTCAACCAGTCAGTCGTGACCTCTTTGGGGGTTAAACGACCCTTTCACAGGGGTCGCCTAAGACCATCGGAAAACACATATATAATTACATATTGTTTTTGTGATTAATCACTATACTTTAATTATGTTCAATTTGTAACAATGAAATTGGGGGTCACCACAACATGAGGAACTGTATTAAAGGGTTGTGGTATTAGGAAGGTTGAGAACCACTGTTCTTGACCCATTTGTGTCCTTCCTTAGTGAATTGTATAACTGGCAGTATGTGGTGAATAATGCATTACATTTGTGAGGAAACTTTAAATCATAATTCTGATTAGATAATTCATAGACACAAAATTAGTTCCATGGGGTTCAAAGATTCAACAAGAAGAAAGAAAATTCTAAGTATAGTAAGAAAGTTATTGGGAGGATTTTAAATCTTACTTAAAGAGATAGAAGAGGGACAGGCAGTTAGGTCAGGACCATGGGAGGGAAAGAAGATAGGGAAGTCCAACAATAACAGGATATAGCTTGCTGACTAGTTGCTAAGGCAACTCAGTTAGGTGAAAACCAAACTAAGTTGGAGTTGCTGGGGCAACCCAACTAGGCAGGGAAGAACCAACAACCCTATATAGAGCTTCCTCTAATATATATATTATTAGAGGCCCGGTGCACAAAAATTTGTGCACTCGGGGGAAAGGGTGGGTCCCTCAGCCCGGCCTGTGCCCTCTCGCAGTCTGGGACCCCTCGGGAGATAACGACCTGCTGGCTTAGGCCTGCTCCCGGGTGGCAGAGGGCAGGCCCAATCCCTAGGTGCAGCCCCTGGGCGGGCTCAGAGCAGGGCCGATTGGGGAGTTGGGGCGCCGCCCCCTGTCAAGCACAGAGCAGGCCGGATCGGGAGGTTGCGATGCCACCCTCAGTCACGCTCAGGGTAGGGCCGATTGGGGGGTTGGGGCACCGTCCCCTGTCACACTCAAGGCAGGGTGGATGGAAAGGTTGGGGAGCTCCCCCCTGTCACGCACAGAACAGGGCCCATCAGGGGGTTGAGGAGCTCCCCCCTGTCACTCACAGAGTAGGGCCGATAGGGGAG